CACAGGGGCGAGAATTCTAAGGGGCCACCTACCTACCAAATTTGGTATTTCTAGATGCCATAATCACGAGGGCGGGGGTCGCATCGAATCCCCACCCCCTGCCAGGCCGCGTTATAAAAAATGCCCTGCGAGGGCGAGGGTTAACTTAGATTCGTTCAAACACCTTAGACGCGTTCAGCCTTTACGATACAAGTCGACTGATACGCAACATAAGCCTGTAACCTTGACGTAAGGTCAACTTCTAGTCTTCTTTTCCAGGTCAATTTACAGATCATTTGACGCGCCTATACGAAATAAATGCGACGCCAATAAAATCAAAGTAATAAAAGCAAAGTGTCAAAAATTGTTGTCGGAAAAGGTTTCCAAAAAGGTCAATTTTCAAAGTTTTTGCCCTCTGGATGACAAGCTGTTGACACTAGGAAAAAGAAAAAAAACACTAAAAAAATCCCTTATCAAAAAGAGCTGTCAAAACTTTTTTTTACAGTAGTTCTTGAACAGGAGGAATTTTAATGGGAAGCAGATTATTCTAATATCAGCCTAATTTGAAGCGTAGCCTCTTATCCAGAGAGGATCTCCTGCCCAGAGACACTGTCCTGTAGAGGAAACCTCCCATTTTATATCATGTAGACTTAGAGGGTCTCCTGCTAATCAGGCCCCCTGGCTCATGCCAAGCTAGAGCCTCTGTGCAGAACTGCAGAGGGAGTCTCCCATTCAGAAGGCCCCCCCCCCCCAGTCCTGTCTATTAACCCTCGCCCTGGCAGGGCATTTTTCACAACACGGCCTGCAGGGGGGGGGGTCGATGCGACCCCCCCTCGCGATTGGCTCCTATGGCACCTAGAAACACCAAATTTGGTAGGTAGGTAGGTGGGCTCCCTTGAGTTCTCGCCCCTGTACAAATTTTGTTGCTCTAGGCCAATATTTAGGGGGGTTTTGGGGGTATAAATGTAAAAATTTCGCTAAAAACAGGTCAAAAGTTTTTCGCTTATAACTTTTGAGTTGATTAAGATAGAGCAAAAAGAAAAGCACCAGTGAACTCAGCACGTCAAGGCGCGTCGAATGATATACTTTTCAGCTCGCTTAACCCGCGCACCGACGGGGGGGCGGATATCCGCCCCCCCCCCCTGAGGTTTTTCGCAAATAGCGGGAAAACCGCGCCGCGTAGCGCCGCGAAATTTGGTATGACTATAACCTCATCAATTTTACACATGGTGTGCGAGTTTGAACCTCCTACCTTTTAAGGTCAGGTCACCAGGTCACTTTGAATGACCCAACCTCAAGTCACTTGTTTGCAACTTTGTCACCGTGCCAGAGCTACAGTAGATGTCGGAGGCCTTTGAAAGTCGCAGGATATTATAAGGTCATTAGTAGCTACAATTTGTATATCTCGGAATTTTGATATCGGTGACCTAAGGTCAGGTCAATTTCGCGACCTCCCCATTATAAGTCAATGGGGGAAAATCAACTCCCTATTTTTACCACTAAAACGGGTCGGAATGGCCCCATATACCATACATGACTTCATATACGATCAACCTTCACTACCTTGAGGTCTGTTTTGCTGTTGGGCAGCTGTGAGGTCATGTGACGTCATCAAAGGTCACCAAAGGTTTTTGGCCAATAACTCCGTACAGGAACAAGATACAGACGCGTGGATGGTCTCATTGTGTTCAGCTCGTCAAGACGCATCGAATGATATACATGATGACCTCGAGGTCACGTGACCTGAGGTCAACCTTTGACCTTGACCTTTCGAGGTCAACATATATATCATTCGATGCGGATTGACGAGAGGATCACGATGATGACCTTAGTTTGTTCCTATCTTGACTAATTCGAAAGTTATTCTAGAAAAACTCTCTCCATATCTAGCGCCGCCATTTTGACTTTTTCGACCCCTGTGACGTCATCTTTGACCTGACCTGAAAATGACCTGAGTAAAAATTGTAGATCTTGGCCGTGCGTATCCGATGCCGTTTACCGCTTGTCGCTATCTTGCTTCGTTTTCGAGATCTCAGGGGGGGGCGGTCATCCGCCCCCCCCCCCGTCGGTGCGAAGTTGGCGCAGACCCCCGTCGGTGCGCGGGTTAAGTGTACTTAAAGTTTTTAATTATTAAGTAAACTTTAATCAATTAACTAAGTTCAAGCTAACCAAATTGCATCATATCGCATATCCTTCGATTCGGCTGATCACCAGAAACACAATGGCACCATTTTTAAAGCTCTAGCGTCATTATGTGCCAAGTTATTGACAAAAAGGTCATTTGACCTCAGTTCACCTCATTTGACCTGACCCATGGATAAGTACACCAAAAAAGAGGCACCAAGTGACCTGCTGTTAGGTACTGTGGTTTCAAAGCACAAAAGTGATAGAACGAAGCGGATATCTCCAGTATTTCCGAATTTAGTATTTTCCCATAGGCTTAACATTACGACGTAATGACCTCTAACTGACCTCGGGTCAGTGACCTTGAGAAACCCGAACTATATGTTATACAACTCGGCGAACTTAGTACATCCTGGAAGTTTGAAGGAAATCAGTCCAAAACTGAGTTATTGGACAGGTGCAAAAAGAAAATTGAAATTTGACCATGAACTTGTACCGTTTTTTGACCTGGTGACCTGACCCAAGGTCACCCGGACCTGGAATTTTGAGGTCATATGTAAAAAGGTTGCCCCATAGGCTGTGCCATTTGGCGGCGCTGCGCGCCGCTGTTTTTACGCTATCTTCGAAAAACCTTGGGGGGGTCGCATCGACCCCCCCTGCCAGGGCGAGGGTTAACAATCTCTTGCCGGAGGGGGCCTCCTAGCTCCTACCCATATAGAATCTCTCGTGCAGAGGTAGCCTCCCACCAAGAGAGGGCCTCCTGCCCATAAAGGGTCTCGTGCAAGTTGCCAGAGGCCAGAGGGGCCTCCTGACTCCTGCCCAGAAAGGGCCCCTGTGCAGAGGAAGCCTCAAGGGCTCCTGCCGATAAAGGAGCTCCTGCCAGATGGGGCCTCCCGGCTCCTGCCTAGATAGGGAACTCTGTGCAGAAGGGAGCGTCCCATCCAGAAGGCGCCTCCGAAGCATAAAAGGTCCTCTGCCAGAGGGGATTCCTGCCAATAAAGGGTCTGCTGCCAGAGGGGGCCTCTTGACTCCAGCCCACAAAGCGCCTCCTGTGCAAAGGGAGCCTCGGGGCCTCCTGCCCATAAATGATCTCCTGCCAGAAGGGGCCTCCTGGCTCTTGCGCAGATAGGACATTTTTTGCAGAGGGGGCCTCCTGACTGCTGCCAAGATATGTCCTCTTATGCGAGAGAGCCTCCCATCCAGAGAGGGCCTCCTACCCAGAAAGGGTCTCCAGCAAGAGGCCAGAGAGGGCCTCCTGACTCCAGCCCAGAAAGGACCCTTGCGTAGAGGAAACCTCGGGGCCTCCTGCCCGTAAAATATCTCCTGCCAAAGGGGCCTCCTGGCTCCCACCCAGACAGGGCCCTCTGTGCAGAAGGGAGCCTCCCATCCAGAAGGGGCCTCATAAGTAGAAAAGGTCTCCTGCCAGAGGGGCCTCCTGCCCATAAAGGGTCTCCTGCCAGAGGGGGCCTCCTGCCTCCTGCCCAGAAAGGGCCTCCTGTGCAGTGCGAGCCTCAGGGGCCTCCTGCTCATGAAGGATCTCCTGCCAGAGGGGGCCTCTTGATTCCTGCCCAGGTAGGGCCTCCTGTGAGAAGGTGCCTCACATCCAGAAGAGGCCTCCTACCCATCAAGGGTCGCCTACCAGAGGGGGCCTCCTGTCCTGGCTTCTGCCCAGATCTTGTGCAGAATTAAAGTAGGCTAGGCCGTAAAGTCAAGTATAAGTACCCGAAGCGGTGCTCGGGGGCCTCCTAAAAATACCCGAGGGGGGGGGGGCGAGACCCCCCTTGGGTACGCCACTGCCTTGCGCACTGCTGTGCAGTTTGAAATTAACTTAAGTTGGTTTTCGTTTTATCCTCGAAAAATGCAAATTTGTCGATATCGGGCGCTGCGAGGGACTGGCATTGGCCCCAAAATGCCCCCCCCCCCCTCCGGATCAGCCAGTGGCTGCGGGGTGTCGTGCGCTGAGGTGCAAAGTGTAATTTTGATCGGACAGCTGAGAACAGTACGTATATGACGCTTTGTAATGAATACTGCCTATGGCATATAATCTTCATCGGGCATTTCTTCGTTTGACAATCAATCCGACCTTCCTTACGTAACGTAAAGGCAAATTATTGCGAAACGAAATGAAGCCTGCGTATGTGCATGTGTTTGTGCTGGGGGTCTGGTGCGTTTGGGGCTGGGCTGGGGTAGAGCTGCCGATTCGCCGGCCGGAGATGTAGTACCATGGCCCATGGGCTCGGATGGCCGGAGTCCGGCGCCGGCGGCGGGCACAGCCAGTTGAGTATAACGGCGGGCCGCCGTGTGCCAACACGTGCTTGTGCACTAGTGCTGAACAGAGTCGGGAAGCGCGCGTAATAGTTCTGCATAAAAATGCACGGACAAAGATTTGCACGCGCGACAAGTAAATGCCAGACCAAAATTTGTTCAAATACCCACTTGCTTGAAGAAACTCCGCTGTTTCTGGTAATGTCTGCGTACGCTCCTTGAGGCGGAAATGTTGTTTTTTATTGTCAAATGCGTGCCATGAACTTGATCTAAATTTTATGTCTGATAGGGTTTAACGAATCCGAGAAAAGGGATATAAATAGGCAAGGTAAATGCAAAGGGAAATAGGTACTGCATGCTGAAATTTTGGTGCCAATTCAGCAATCACTCCGACAACACAATCTGGCAACATAAGGCTTCTTGTCAGCATTTTAGTGCCAGATTCAGTTATTAGGTTCCAGTAATCTCCAGCAATAAGTCCAGGTGATATCCAGCAATTTGTTGCTAGAAACAGGTATTTAGGGATCTAAGACAAATATCCCCTTATATCAATGCGATAATAGACAATGATAATTGAGAATATTTGTGAAATCGCTATTTTCAGACACTCGACAAAGCTCCAGATAACTTACCTGCAAAAATATGTTTTTATGAAGCAGCTGACTGGTTTGAGCCTCAGCGAGTCGAACGCCGTGGTCTTTGTATGAGTCCTGTATAATGTCTGGGTTAAATCTCATACTCTCCGGCGATATACCCAGTCTGACGGGCAGCTCATCATGGAGCAGCACGATCGGAGAAATTCCGGATCTGGAATATCGGAAAAAATTGGTACATAGTACTTTTAACCCTCGTCCGTATTATATGGTACAACGTTTATTTGAGCATGATTGTTATCAATAAAAATGGTAAAATTGACATTATGCTCATAATATCGGATAAATTAATTGAAAAAAGGTCCAGAATATATTTTCGAACTTGGTTCTTCTTCGGTGGAATTCAAGGACGATTTTTTTTATTCCACCGAAGAAGAACCAAGTTCGAAAATATATTATGGACCTTTTTTCAATTAATTTATCCGATGTTATGAGCATAAGGTCAATTTTACAATTTTTATTTATCTCGTCCGTATTGGTTACTATTGGTGTTAAGCCTGCCGCGAACGTATAGGGGGGTCGGTTGGACCCTCCCCGTGCCATACGGCCCCTGATCAAGCTAGAGCTTCGCAGAAAAAAAACAATCGTGTTACTCGTGACGAGAGGAAGCCGATGATACCGATTTTAAGGTCCTAGGGCATTGGTTGACCTTCCAGGTCAGGTCAATGACCCAAAAGTCGGGAAAATCGGGACCTATTAGAACTTCATTAAAGTGACCATCCCACCTTAACATTAGTTTTGAGTTTAGATAGCTAAAATGGGGTCCCTGGCTTGCACTTCCTACCGGTTTGAGCAATCACAACATCGAGCAATGCCTCTAATCGAAAAAATATAATTTCAAAGCTGCAGGACTTTGGATTCAGAGGGGCTAATGCATTGGAATGCTCCCTCTGAATGTGTGACCGGCGACGTCAGCGCCGCAGATGTAACGATTTTAAATCTTTTACTAAAACGTTTGGTAGCACGCAGTGGTATATGCTGCTATGTGTGCAACAAGTCCCGCACCTTCAGCTACCAAACTATTGCTTCCAAATAAAGTCGCTTGGAACAGCGGAGATCCAAAAAAGTAAACCAAAGTAGAAGTCTTATATCTTGGAAATCGGTGAATATTTTTCGGTGAAATTTGGTAGATATTCTTTTCCGCTCTTTCTGAACCGAGCAACATCACTTTCATGCCAATTCAATAGCTTTTTGAAGGTGGGAGGGTCTCTTTAAGTGAGGTTATTATGGGGTTTTTGGCGTGCTGATCACGAATTTTATGTTAGTTTTGATCACAGTTGCACCTAGGTCAACGAAGCTTGGTCACAAGATAGTTCCCTGTTGGCGCTATCGAATGCCGTTTGAATTTTCAAAATCGGTCGGCAACTTTCCGAGAGCTGAGGGGGCCGAAACGCTGCCCCCCCCCCCCCCCCATGGGTGATACGGTCCGCCAATAGCCCAACGCGGTCCGGGTTAAAGGGACTGTCCCACCTTAACATTAGGTTTGAGTTGAGATAGCCAAGTTTGCGGCGAGGTTCAGAAACCGCTATCTATCTTGGTCGCAACCCCCGCAGCCTCGTGGTGTTCAAGAAATTCGTTCCCTTCATTTGAAAATGTTCCCTGTACAAGTCCCAATCTTTTAACCATTACCGGCAATCTGATGACGTCATTTGCCTTTTGAACGCCTGTCATGTATTCAAGTGAAGTATCACTTGATTTACTGAATAAGCCAATCAGAGATGCTTGTTATTGTATGAGCCGCGCAATATTTGAGAGCAAATAGGCATATTTGCTGCCAAATTTCCCCCACATTGACATGAAGTAAATCCTTCATTACGTCACAGATTCGATCTAAATGACGTCACCATGAAATATAAAAGTCGCAATATCTAAAAAAAATATACGATGAAAACGCGTAAAAACTTTCAGAATTCGTCACAATATCATGAGTAACATTTCTGAATCCTAAATGATACTTATTTGAAGGTGGGATAGTCCCTTTAACAGTCGTCAACGTCACGCTGCGTACCGTACTTCCACATCCTTCACGGTCGGGTCTCTAACATTTTGAACGCCCTCGTGCCCAACATACCTTACCTTTGCAAATCGCAGAAGAACGTTTTCACGTTCATGGCAAAATTTTGATAGATGCCTCCTCCTGCTGTTTCATCATAATGCCTTTTCTCAAGTGATGCCATGAGATCATTGCCATCAATCACCAACGGGCAGTTGGAGATACATTCTTCACGAAGCAGGCCGTGCTTTGTTGCAAACCACGTCAGGTATTTAACCATCTCTGGAATGGATGGAGGTTCACATTAGTTACAATATGATCATTGAACTAGTTCGTCACGTCACTGCACGTACATGGATATGTAGTCCATGAGACACAGAAACTATTTGGTATCTGTACTATTACAAAACTGATACCATTATGCATGGGTGTGGATTTCCGCCGAGTTAGGGGTGCCCGAGCTCTCCCAATTCCACGCCGGCTTGGCTTGGAGCCGCAACAGACGGCGCGGGTCAATGCCCCCGCTATAGGGCGGCGACGCCTTTGCTGCTCCCAGGCACCCCCCCCCCCCCCTACTGAGCAGTTATCCATACCCATGACAATATCTTATTTGGCTGTTCAAATGTATTTTTTTTTTCGGTACTTTGATGCCTTCTTTACTATTAAATCTCCAAAGAATTGGTTACCAGCTGGTTCTCACTCAAGTTCAAAGCTAGGCATCTCTCCCCATTTAGTATTTTTAGACATCGGGATAATCAGGGATAATTTTCGGGATGATCACCAGGATCATTCGGTGTTTTAGGCTGACACCGTGCACAACAAACATGACAACGAGTAAAACCGCCATTCGCAAAGCGTATGTTATATAAAAATGTGACTTATTGCATCAATGGTCCCTACAATACCAAATAATTACCGGAGGTCCCGGATAATTATCCCTCATTTTCCGGATGTCGAACTCAAGGTTAGTATCTCACCGCCACCTCAGACTTCAGCGGCCGATTTCATAAGAGGACGTAAAATACGACTGACGTAGTTTTCCACCTATTTTGTTGCATTTTACGCCACAGTGGTTTCCTACAGCAAATGCGGAATGCGGATGTAACCTTATGATTACGAGCGAGCGAGCGAGGCGAGGGAAGCGAAGTCTTTTCAATATAACGGAAAAATCTCAGTATGAGCGGCCCGACCCGGCCTGTAACGATTTTGAGAAGCTTATAGGTATCACAGCAACCAATTGACCGATTAACCCGCGCCGGACCGGGGTGTGTGTCGGAACACCCCCCCCCCCCCCGTCTAACTCGGCTCCTGGGCCACGTAGCGACACGCAGTAAGCGGCATTCGAAAGAGCGTAAAAAATAATGCGGTAATATTTTGGGTCAGGCCAAAGGTCAGGTCGCCAGAGGTCATCAAAGGTCAAATGTAGTCCATTTCAACAATTTTGGAAACTGCCAACGGCTAGCTCGGGAACCAATAGAGCTACAGGGCCGCGGAAAAGCGCATTCGATAGGTCTTTTACAGATCTTTCTGAGCATCGTTCTCAGATTTGACATCAGGTCAACGGTTTAGCCTCAAGAGGGCAAAAACTGTAAAAATAGCAGTTTTCACGAAAACGGCTTTTCGTCAAAAACTTTTGATTCAAGAAAGCCACGACATTACTTTTGACAGCATCGTGTTCCTCTCGTCGAGACGCGTCGAATGAACTATTTGTTGACCTTGAAAGTCATTTTGAGAATTTGACCTCAGGTCAAGGTCATGACCTGACCGGAAAGGGTCATTTTGCATATCAGTTGATCCGTATCGTCGAGCTGAATACATCGACGTGTTTTCATTGCTCTAGCACGTCTTAAGCAAAAGTTATAGCAAAAAAACTGCTGGTGACCGTTCATGACCTGAGATGACCTCAGGGGCACACAAAGGGGTCGCAGGTGCATTTTTTTTTCGATTCAGTATGTCATGTTTACCTATGAACCGATGTTTGAGAGGGTTTTGAACATTATTTGTCCAAAAGAGGCGCATTTCAATATTCTCCCATTGACTTAAAGGTAATTGAGAGGTCGCAAAATTGACCTGACCTTAGGTCACCGATATCGAAATTCCGAGGTATACATTTTGTACATAACTACTATTACTCTCATCAATTACTGAAAGTTTCAAGGCGATCGTTCAGTTGGTGTAGCTATGACGAGGATTGAAACTTTTTCTGAGGTGAGGTCACTTGACCTGACCTGGACCTGGTGACCTGACTTTGAGAGCCCTGGGTCTAAAATTTTTACATATGCGGAACAGATGCATGAACAGGTGCCCCAAAAACGGCAAAACCGCAGGTGGGTGTTCATTATAGGGTGGTCCGGTTTGCATCACTTTTTTGAAAAGTCACGGTCTCACCCCCCTATCTGGTGCATTTTGGGGCGCTGATTATGATAAGCACATAAAAAATGCAAATTTCGATTTTTTTTGTAGGCCCCGGTCGATCAAAGATTTTGAAAATTTTGCGAATTCGCACATTTTTTACCATATATCAGAAAAATGAAGAATACAGTTATTAAAATGATGTTTAACAGATGCAGCAAACATATTCCTAGGCGTATGTGCGCAAATTAGTGAGCTAGGGCCAGCCAAATTATTTTTGGACTGAAATTACTGAGGCCATTTCCGTGTTTCCGCTCCCGGCCGCTAGGTGGCGACCGCCAGGGCGGTCGCTACCGGTAGAGGACGGGCCATCGCTCTCATGTGTTTTGACGCACTGCGACGGCATTTTGAGTGACGAGACTGATATTTACAAACTAATGACACAACCGGTGTATTATTCTGCCTATTGCAATAGAATTGGGTATGAAATACCCAAAAAAGGTACGCACCGTACCACAGCCACACAGCCTGGCGATTTTGCCGGAACTAGTCACAGCCGCTAAACCTTACGCAACGGCATAAAACGAACAAAGTAACAACATGTGATATTTAGCACATCTCGCACAAGGAGATTATGTCCTCTTATCCTGGTGTCCATCTAAGCTAGGTCACAGCGCCCGCGACTATAGCGCCACTTGGAGTCCGACTACTGACTACTGCCCGCGAAAGTGACGCCGAAAGGCTATCTTATTCAAGCTATAGCCGTCCTGGCGCACCGCGCCCGCCACCGCTCCAGAGGACTGGGTGGTAAGCTTGACGGCGCGCTCTGTGGACTGGGTGTGACATGGCACCCTAGTCCGCAGCGGCTCGTCCACCAGTGCCTCCAGGTCGCCGTCACTGAGAAAGCGAACACAAGGTGGCTCTACATCAGCCACTCGAGCGTACATGGTGACGTCGACAAGCTCCGTGTACTGGTGAGCAGACACATTCACCGACGCGCTTTGCACACGGAACTGGCGAACTGGCCCAGGCTGCCGGCGAGCTCGTGCCTCGCGCACCATCTGCACGGCTCGTGCTCTGACGTCACGGCGCTCGTCACCGAGCATACCGAGCACCACGTTCTCAGGATGAGCCATCAACGCATTGCCGCACAAGCTACCCTGAACAGTTTGCAGGTCTGGGCCTCCCATGTGTTGCCTCTGTTGCTGCAGCTGGTCGAACAGATGTCGGGGCGCCTCCACCAGGTCCGGTTTGTGCTTGATGGCCAGAACGGTCGGAAGGTACACTGCCACGATGTAGAGGGCGAGTGTCGTCAGACGCCGGTGTCTGTCCGTCACCATGCCATCGTCCTCAGCGCTGGGAGCCGGCTGCGACATGTACGCCCGGAGGAGACGGCTCTGCGCCGTGTACCAGCGCGCCATGTTCAGCTGGCCGTGGATCCGGTGCTCCACGGCGCTGCCATCACCGGTCGTCACACACCTGGCGCACCGTCAAGTCACCTCACCTCCACAGAGCGCGCCGTCAAGCTTACCACCCAGTCCTCTGGAGCGGTGGCGGGCGCGGTGCGCCAGGACGGCTATAGCTTGAATAAGATAGCCTTTCGGCGTCACTTTCGCGGGCAGTAGTCAGTAGTCGGACTCCAAGTGGCGCTATAGTCGCGGGCGCTGTGACCTAGCTTAGATGGACACCAGGATAAGAGGACATAATCTCCTTGTGCGAGATGTGCTAAATATTACATGTTGTTGCTTTGTTAGATTTATGCCGTTGCGTAAGGTTTAGCGGCTGTGACTAGTTCCGGCAAAATCGCCAGGCTGTGTGGCTGTGGTACGGTGCGTACCTTTTTTGGGTATTTCATACCCAATTCTATTGCAATAGGCAGAATAATACACCGGTTGTGTCATTAGTTTGTAAATATCAGTCTCGTCACTCAAAATGCCGTCGCAGTGCGTCAAAACACATGAGAGCGATGGCCCGTCCTCTACCGGTAGCGACCGCCCTGGCGGTCGCCACCTAGCGGCCGGTAGGCTCCATATCAAAGCATACAAAATCTTATCATACAATCATCAAAACATACAAAATCGTAACATACAACGCGCAAAACCTACAAAACAGGCCGGGTAGGGGACAGTCAAAACATACAAAAGCGCAGCATACAAAATCGTGTCATACAAAATCGCAAGGAACAAAATCGTTTCACACAAAAAGGCAGTGGAAAATTTATGGCATTAATCAAAGTACGCATCATACAAAACAATTTCATATAAATTTACATCATTTCGTCGCCCTTGAGATGTCAATTTTCAGTTGGATCAAAACCTACAATCTCAACTGCGCTTCATGCGACATCTTTGTTAGAAGTTTGTGTAGTTACGAAATATTCCACTAGATGCCTCCTCTGTCAAAGCACAGCCAAGCTTTGCACGGCCAGCGTTTTTTGCTTGTTTATACAGTGAGCGCCGGTCTCGGAGCGACGGGGCGTCCCGGAGTCCCGGTGGCGCCGTCGTCCCCCTCCCTCAGACTGGGCAAGGTCTCCCCTCCCTCGGCAGACGGCGCGGCCCCAGAGGAAACGGCCAAGGCCGTGCCTGACTTACATCCCCGCTCTCTGCGGGCCGGAGAACGAAGTTGCGCTTGGTACATTGAGCAGCATTCTGCTCATTTTGACCATAGCTGCCGGAACATAATTCGTAAATTAAATTGAAAACTGCAAAAGAAATTTAACTGACATAACCCTCGCCCGTATAGGGGGGGGGGGGTCGAACGGACCCCCACCCCCATGGTTTTTCGCGAATAACTCGCGTAAAAAGCGGTTGATCGCGATGAAACTTTCAGTACTGTCGAGTCAATCAATTGTACACTTACCCTTAAAAGTTCATGACCCTGTCCCAATTGAACCTTGACCTGTGGCCTATTTTTCGAGACCATGTTTGGCC